TTTCGGGAATTGAACAACAACCTGTTATACTGTACTGTATCAAAATTTGCGCACATTGAATCTAAAATTTGGTGCGCGTTGCGCACCAAATTTTGGCTCTGAATTTTATTCACTGCTAGGGTATCCACTATTTCACTTAGTTTTTAATAATAACAATATTCGCATTAAAAGCTTTTACCTATATGTCGGTAATTTACTGATTTATTACTGCTCCACAAATAAAAATGAGTAAATCTAACCCATCGTTTAACAAAAGGTCTTACATCTAGTTGAGAATAATAATCATTTCCGAGAAGTAACTTATATCAAGAAAAAATGAAAGTGTGTTTTCTCAATAAAGTTTCTCTTAGACTTTAATGTCTTAATAAAGAGGAAATAAAAATCGATCTTTCTTGTTCAATTATTACATTTGTTGATTTATTTCTCTAATTCGTTATTACGTATTTTCATATTGACTACTCTATTATTACCTAAATCAATTAATTATCTCATACTGTATAAAATTCATTAATTGATTTGCTTCACTCTTTGATTGACTTCTAATCATAAATCACGTTAACTTTCGATGATAAGCAGTAGACTTCCAATAGGCATAAACTCTACGTTCGCTATTGGTTATTCTTCGAACCCGGCTTTCCAAAACAATAGAATCAACATAACTGAATTTGGGCATGTCGCAAATGATTCAAGAAAAAAAAACTATCATTAATACTAAAGTATTGAACAGCATTCTTTTAATAAACTTGAATACCGTACCGTTCCGAAATTAAGCACCCTTTTTTTTTTATTAGGAGTGCTTATTTTCGGATATAATTTAAGAATTAATTATAGGTGATTTTGTATTAAGTAAATCTACCTTCTGTTTGTAAATAAAGCTATTCACCAGGCCAAGACTATTCTAACGGTGGTAAAATCATCAAAATTGGTCCGGTAGAACGTTTACAATTTATCTTCAAAGTTCGGGCGACGTTTGTTTACATTTCGCTTACATTAGAGATCATATAAAAAAAGAAAAACCGAAATATCGCCAGAACTTTGAGAAGTAATTGCGAATGATCTATCGGACCATTTTTGATGATTTTACCACCGTTAGAATCGTCTTGGTCTGGAGAATAACTTTACTTAGAAACAGAAGGTAGACTTACCTTGAAAAAAATCAGATACGATCATACTTAGGAGGTGCTTATTTTCGGGTATTGTACTAAATTTTATGGTGCTTAATTTCGGGGGGTGCTTAATTTCGGAACGGTACGGTATATGATATTATGAAAGCATCATTTCGAAGTTAAATATTTTACCAATTTACAAATAAATGTATCCTTATAGTAAAAATATATACTGATGATACAATGTTTTAAAAAATGCCTAATTAATCAAAAATCTTAAACCGTAACTTTTTTTCAAATTATTAAATTGTTTTCCACAAAAATTGCTTGAAAAAAAAAATAGGTTTGTACGTGTGTATCAATTTTTTTTCTTACTAATGTAATATTTAAAATGCTTAATTAATAAAAATCTGAAACTGTAACTTTTTTTTTTTTATTATGCTACGTATATCAATTGACAAAAAATTGCTTATAAATAATTGTTTGTGTATGAGGTGAATCAAGTTTTTGAATACTCGCAGCTCTATTTTATGCGTAAAACCCATTATTATTATTATTATTAATGCATCTCTTTCATTATTTTAATTAATTAGTATATCGGACACCCCAATGTAATTCAAATTTATCTACAGCAGATGCGAAGATCAGATGATGCTGAGAATGAACCTACTTTAATATAAAGAGTGCTGTATATCATTTCGAGTAACTGACGCTTATCGTAACTTTTAATTAATAAAAATATATGTACATCTTCTAAATTAAATATCCTTTGTTTACGACCTAACGCCAAATTATTATTGAAAATCGTATAACTTTGGATTGCAACTGTACGATCATTAGACAAACGGATATTATTAAAACTATCTCTGTTAATATAGTTTCAGGAACTATCTGCAAAATTTCCCCTTAATATGTATGGTGTAGCATAAGTAAATTGAGACGGAAATCGATAAAATTGATTCTATTGCTTTTTTTTTCATATCCCCAGTAAATTTTAATTTGCTTTGCATAAATGATATAACATCCATATAAACTGCAAATTTTAGATATAAAAAACACTTTTTTGCAAAAATAACTTCTCAAGATGCTTTTAACTACTTTACTTGATCCAGTTCCAATTTTTCCTATCCGCATTAAATTCTCATTATTAGGCTCAGTCTATGTAGCAAATGTGACCATACATACGACTGGTGAAGTATTGTTGAAGAACTTCCGAAATTGTGTCTGGTCGAATGATAACAACTTATCTTGTAAACTTTTGTACCATGACAAGGACATACAGCTTACCGATACGATTGAAAGGCTAGGAATCAAGGTAAATATATTTTACGATTACTATAGAAACCTTTTTTTATGTTGGAAGGAAGAAAAAAAATAACCGTATATACTATGCTAATGAATTATGATGTTTGTAAATTTAGGAAGGTGATTTAGTCGAGACAGTATATGGTATATGTAAAAATAATACAATGAAATTTTCTAGATTAGAGTTTTCATCTGCACCGACTGATGCAAGAAGTTCGATGCTAATCTACTTGAAAACATCTACTGAAAAAGTGAAACTGAATGTGTATTGGAGTGACACCATCTTTCAAATTAAAAAAATGATCCAGGATTTAAAGGGTATTGCCACTGATAAACAATCCATTATATTTAATGACAATGAATTAGATGACTTTTATACCCTATCATATTATAACATCCAAAAAGAGTCCACATTACATCTAGAACCTAAAGAAATAACTATCTATGTGAAAACAGAAATTGGAGAAATAATAGAACTTGATTTAACGACAGATAACTCTATCGAAGATGTTAAATTAATGATCCAGAATAAAAAAAATATTCTTCCTATCCAACAGCGTATTAGTTTTTCTGGTAATGAACCAGATGATTATAGTACCCTCTCATCTTGTAAAATCAAAAAAGGGTCTACACTTTATCTAGAAATTAAATCAATAATTTTTGTAAAAACAAATACCGGAGAAATCATAAATGTTGAAATAGAAACAAACAAAAAAATCAGACAGCTCAAACAAATGATCCAAAACATGAATTGTGTCCCTATCGGTCAACAAATTCTTGTTTATTCAGGCAAGGAACTATTTGATCAGAATACCTTGTTATATTACAATATTCAAAAAGGATCAACATTGTATTTAGATTATAATAAAATGAAGATTTATGTAAAAATAATGAACAAACCAAAAATTATAGAGCTAAAAGCAAAAAGAGATCATACTATTAAAGAAATTAAACAAATGATCCAGGACAAAAAAGGAATTCCCTCGGACCGACAATATCTTGTGTTTAATAATGAAACGTTAAAGAATGACAATTATTCCTTGTCATATTACAAAATCGAAGAAGATTCTACATTGCATTTAGAATTTAAAGCAATAATAATCTATGTAAAATTAATAAATGGAAAAACGATAAAGGTTGAAGTGAATAGAGATTATTCTGTCAAAAAGTCTATAGACATAATCAAAGATAAAGAAGGAATTCCTTCTTATCAACATTGTTACTTTACTTTTAATGGCGAGAATCTGTATTCTGGGAACACTTTAGAATCAAAAAAGATTAACAATGAATCCACACTTAATCTAGTTCAATCTATACCATTTTCTGGTCCAATATTTGTGAAAACATTAACTGGAAAAACAATAACTTTGGACATAAGTTCGAGTGACACTATTGATCAAGTTAAATGGAAGATCCATAACAAAGAAGGAATCCCACCTGATCAACAGCGTCTCATTTTTGCTGGCAAGCAAGTAGAAGACGGCAGTACTTTGTCAGATTGTTATGTCCAAAAAGAGTCCACAATTCATCTTGTACTTAGGTTACGTGGAGGAATGTTTCAAGAAACCAGTGGCCGCAAAGAATTTGATGCATTACCACCACTTACGCAATTTATACTAACACCTGAAGAACGTCTACAAAATGGAATTCATGCTGGTATTGTCTGTAATTATTGCAGTAAAAGTGAATGGAAAGGAACGAGGTTAATATTCATTGTATTAATATGCTTGAATATGCTTGAATATGCCAAGTTTTTCTTATTAATTTGTTTTTCCATTAAGATATAAATGTTCAGAATGCCCTGATTATGACTTGTGTTTTGATTGTATCGCAATGTCCAACCTACTTCATAATGTGCAACATCAATTTCTGAAACTCTTGAATCCCTTAGATCCGAAGATGGTTCCAGAAAATACCTCTATTTCTTCTGTTAATATTATCCCAATATTACCGGACACGAAGGAAAAATTATTAGCTCTACTACGTGAAGAAGAGCGACTAAGATTTTCGCCTGAACTGCAAAAAAAATATTATGATGTTGGGAGCGATCCTACATGTGGTAAGGATTGGATGGATGTTACTGATCAGATGCAGCTTGAGTTGGTTCGAGAGTTTGGATACTCGGATGAGGCTGTACAATTGTTGCGACGTGCACCACAACTTTATCCAGGTAA